ATGGCGATTGCATTGCTAATTGTACTGAAACAATATCCTTTTGTTGCAAAGACCTAGTTTTGGTCGCAAAATACTAAATTATAGCTGCAACTCGCCGCGAACAATAGACCCGAGTTTCAAACGGTTCATATTTTCTTTCTTTTATGCCATACCAAGTATTTTATTCTACGTGTGAATGGAATGGAAATGCGAAAGTATGATCGATTTTCGCGATGACCGATAACGCTTTAGCAACGGCATGTTTAAGAAACATTTGTAAGAAATTTAAAATATAAAATGACAACAATATATAAAAACAATAAAGTAAAAATGACAAAGTTTTGGAAAATGAGCAGAATATTTCTTAATTTAAAAAAAAATCTTATGATTTGTAGCTTATCTACGGCACTTAATTTTTTTACGATTTCGTCAATCAATATGCAATTATGACACAGCATAATACAACACGCAGATATAAGTGTAGGTATTTTAATAATAGTAATTTCAGGACACAAAACGAAAGCTAATTAACGGCGGCGTGTGAACTAGCGCGAAATAATAAATTACGGATTGTCTATGGACCCCTTACCAAAATACGCGCAACTTTTAGTATACTACAGTTAATCTTAAATTAGTTTTAGTTTTTTAAGACAATTTTATACTCACTGCCAGTAATTAACTAAAAAAAAATTATCGGTATATATGTAGGTACTACATTTTAAATATAAAAAGATTCAATGATATTTGAAATTAAATGAAATATAATTTTGTTCTTTGATCTATTTTTACAGATTTTATCGCGTTTAATTTTCTTAATTTTAATTCCCGACGTTTCCGTTACGTTCCGTAAAAATAATTCAATTCGATGTGCAGTATTCGCGTAAATATAAGAAATAATTAGTTAAATTTGTGTTTCTCTTGGTATTTTAATAATTAAAATTTTATAAATATTAAGACCGATTTCACAGAACTATAAAGAATATTATGGTCATTGTGAATTGGAAAGTATGATGATTTTCTCTTGGATCCCATGATCAAATCTTCACCAAATTTAAATAGGACCATTTCCGAACCCTGTCTAACAAACAAAATTCATAGAAATCGGACATCGTCCGATTTGTTTTTGAAAAATTGCAGAATTATCAAACTTATTAAGTCAGTTGAAAAGGTACGAGTATTTATAACTACGTGAAATGATTTCGCTTACGAAATTTGTTGTTTTATTTTGATGCCCGCATAACTTGTAGCCTAGCGAATACGTGAGTCTGTTGCAAGCTAGCCTACGGGATGGTAGATCTCAAATAAATATCACATAGTGTATACCGTGAAGAACTTACTTTAGAAATGATCCTGTAAATTAAGGTCTATTTAAGTTAGGACTGTAGTTGAGCTTATACTGGAATTAGATAGTGTAACTAAATCCAACTAACTAGATACGTCTTTCTTTGAGAGATATTAGTGACGAGTACCTACTTGAAAAACCGAAAACCGATGGGTAAAAAAAATTCTCGATTGGCAGCCTTGTATCGATAAGCGAAGTGTAGGGCACCCTTCTTCTAGCTTGTACTATTATCTATTCTGTGCCTCTACATGGAATGACGGCCTCATGGTGTTTTGTGTCATGTCTTAAAGGGCTTCAATGATGATAAAATACTATGATATATAAAATATTATATTTATAATATAACAACCCCAGCTGGTATTGGTACATAAATTTATTAATGAAAATTGAAATAAAATAATAGGTCCTAAACAATTAATCTTGTTATAAACAATTCCATTTTGTTATACGTAAGCAAAAAGTAATTGAAACGATTGAGAGGGTAGTCAGAAAAACAGTCTGGTATGATAAACGAATGCTTCAAGACGCTCCCGAGAAGAGAAATAAAAAAACCACTGTCACACCTTTATCAAATTATACAGGAGCAAGAGTGTAGGCACCATGAAATGAACAACACTTTTACAAGATGAAACAACTTTATGTCATTAACTCTTCACCTGTTGTCAATATTAAAGTTGGCAAGAATTCAAAAACTATTTACCCAAATAAGCGCTTATCAGTATTAATAATTTCAGTACCTTAATTTTTTCTACCGACTTCAAAAAGGAGAAGGTACTCATTTCGACTGTATGTTCTTTTTTTATGTGTGTTACGTCATAACTTTTTTCTGAATGAACCGATTTCGATGATGTTTTCTTTATTTGAAAGCTGGTGCTTCTCATGTAGTCCCATATAAATTTGATCAAGGTTTGACCAATAGTTTTCGAGTTATTCTTAATAATTTATAGATACTGAAGTCGGTTGTACAAAGTTTTTAATTTTTAATTATTTATAGAAAAAACTTCATTATTCAAAGACGGCTCCGTGGCGTAGTAGCTTAGCAATGAGAGCAGCGCTAAGAGCCGCTTGTTCCAATCATTCACGGATCAAGTATTTGTAAGTCCTACAAATATCTAATAATTGTTCCGGGTACGGATTATTGTCCTTGTGTTATTTATGTGTGTTAACTTCCTCACGATACAGGGGAAAATCTTAGTGTGATGGTAACGTTCTATAAATAAAAGAAATGATAAAAGCGAGTAGTAACTTTTGTAACAAATGCTATTTTGAATGGTCTCCAGAAAATTTAAACGCCACGTCTCTCCCCCCACACAGTTTGAACAATAGATAAGTCTTAACCGGGATGGTAACTTATGGGAAGCGAATTAAAATTGGATTATTAAAAAAATATAAACCGACTTTAGTTATCATCGAATCTGATTGAAACTCATATTGGGAATATTCACACTAAGAACTTTGGAAAATCGATGAACGGTAGCAATATCATCATCATCGTCATTATCTATTATTACAAACTTTTACAAGTCCGTTGATTAACATACTCCTCCCATAAGGAATGTCTCGAAGGTAGCAATACCTATGCTATATCCTTGTGCGAAAAATCAATAAACTGGATCGATATCGTTAAAGACTTAAAATACAATCGAATTGATGACGCCCACATTTTTTTAAATCTGTTAAAATCTTTATATACCTAAGAAACTTTTTTTATTTACTTTAATAACATCCCGTTAAGCTTGCATTAATATTCCCATAGGATATTGTGAATTCATGATACCTAATTAAAACTTTAAAGTGGAAAATATTGCAAGTTTTTATTATTTTGTTTTTCCTTGTCGTTACACAGAGGTATTTAATCATTTCATTATAGTTTTAAAATACTTAATTATATTAATATTATTTTCAGATTATTATAGAAATTAATAATAAAATTAAGTTTACCTATATTTTTTTTTGAGAACATCATTCTGTTCTTAGGTTTTTGATATAATTAACGATACTAAAAAATTAATATTTTTTTAAATGGTTGTTTCCCGAAGATAGTAAAGTATTCACAGGTAAAGTATTTACAAATAGTTATACAAACCCCTACAAATGCCATGTATGACGGCATTTATCCATTGTTTAACGTGGATTGAAAAATCGACACCCTACGATTCTTCTTGGCACAAAATATCGAGTTTTCTATTTAATCGATCACAGATACCCATCCCTACTTTAATTTTTTTTTTAATTTATAATGGAATTCCTTCAATTCTCCTACGTGATGTAGGAAGGCCCCTTTACGTTAATTTTATATATTAAAAAAATATTGCAAAATCAAAGGACGCGGATTAAGTTGATCCTAGCGTTGACTAAACCAAATCCGGCTACTATACCTATATTTTCCTACCCACACGAGTCGAAATGGCAAACATCTTACGCAGTGTTGCCAGTTTCATATAATTAAATAAACTATATGCCTGGGTCCAAGTCGTAAGGATACAAATGTTGAGTTGAGCGTTATCAAGCTATAGAACAAGGCTGTAATGTGGCACTGTGGCATAAAAATGTTATCTATTTAGTTAAATACCGCAACGTTAAAATAAACGCTGTGGCTATTAAACGACGCTCGGCGTGCTTACAATGATTTAAGGTGCCATTTTATTTCGCGCATCCCTATGTAATGTTTATTTATTATTATAACGCTTTAACTTATTCTCGCCGGCCATCCGTTCTGTATTTGTATTTGATGTTAACATAATAATAAAATATTACGATACCTACTAATTTTTTTATCCACATTTCTAACTTTCTTTTAAATTTCATCTCCTGTTTTTATTAAATAATTAGAAATTAAAGGAGTAATTTTTTTTTCATTTAGTTGATTTGTGATCATTAACTATTAGATATATAAATTTTAAATAAATGTAAATGCAATTTTGACGATAATTATTGTTTTATTAATTACTTTCATTTGATATAAATCTAAAATTATACTTAATGATTTAGTTGTAAATAAAGTTATAAGAGCGGTAATTTTTGGAAAACATATTTTCACTTAATGAGAATATAAAGTACCTACGGAAGGATACAATAGGATATAATAAGAAGAAAGAGAAAGAGAATAATAAGAAAGGTAACAATAATATGAATTAAGAAAGGGATCTCAAATCGATTGATTGAAGAACAGACTTTTTGGGTCAAGAAGGGTGGCAGAGGGTCGATATATTAATCGGTCTTTGGGAATTTAGTTTTTTTTTCATATTAAAACTTTTTCTAGAAATAGATTTCCTAGACATCGATTTTTTAAGGAAACGATACTTCGATCTATTTAAAATCTATCTAGATAAGGAAGAATCGCCATCCCTAATTTAAAGTCATTAAGGCAAATAAAAAAGTATTTAGTAGCAACACTAGCAGACGGGAAAAAGCGTAGGCTAATGAATACAAAACGAAAGAATTAAGTTTTCGCTCTCCGGGTCCGCGCCGCGTCGTCTCGACGCAACTCAACTCAACTCAGATTCACGCAAAGCGAGATGTTTACCTCGGATGCGGTGATGCGCGGACTGTGAGCGAGCGAATTTATTTTTTAGCTCAAATTTGTACATGCTCCCTATAAATTGTACATTTCACTCAATCTAAGCTATAAATTTTTTTTAAGGGGTACATATCTAATGTAGATAAATATATAGACGTTTTAATCATAAAAAGCATTTTGTTTGTAGGTACAGCGAGGCGGAATTGTGGCATTGGGAAGGGCAAACTTTATATTTTGAACAAAACAATGTGCGAGTCGGCGGTAAACAGTAATTTTTATATTAGACGCGGAGTGCGGAGTGCGGCCCCGAAATAAATTAATTAGGAAGGCGATACAAGCGGAGTTTTGCTGGGGAGTGGGGCGCGGGCGGTTCGGCGCGCAACGGCGGGAAAAGTTTGGCGGGAAGCGGGAGCTAGCGCAACTTACCCGTTCCTCCTCGCGGATCATCTCGGCGATGCCGGGGCGGATGTCCACGTCGTCGCCGTGCAGCGGGATGGTGGTTGTAGGCGTGTCGGGCGGCGGCAGATCCGCGGCGGGGCTCTCGCGCGGGCTCGGGGCCTCCGCGGAGCGCCGCCGCGACTTCGCCGGAGACTCCGGCTCGCGGCTCACCGGCCGCTTCCCGCCCCGCGGATCCCCGCCCGGCCTCAACACCGCGTGATCCCCGCTCACGTCAGTCAGCCCGCGGATCTTCAGCATCTCCGCCACCTTGAGCAGGGCGCTGATCTGGTCCTGCGACACGTTTATCTCGCCGCGGTACATGAAGTCGACCACCGCTCTCAGGTCGCAGTATTTTATGTCGCGCATGATTATGATCGGGTGCCGGCACGGATTGTCCATGAACAGGGTCTGAAAGTAGGGGCTGCACGCGGAGAGCACCACCTTGTGCGCCTTCAGGCTCTGGCCCTCGCAGGCGAGCGTGACGTCGACGAACGACTCCGTCTGCAGGAGTTGGTCGAAACAGTTGGCCAGGTTGCTCTGATAGTTGTTCCAGCGGAGACAGAACTGCTGGGGCGAGCCGTCGGCGGCTTCGCGGGCGTCCATCGCCGCGGCTTCCTCCTCGGCGGGCATCGTTTCAGCGGCGGCGTGTTCGCATCTGCAACGAACGCGAACGATGTGAATATGCGCGACACGTGCGACACGGGCGGTGACTCGCGAAGCACTGAGCGAGGCGGCGGCGAGCGGGCGCGGGGCGGCGAGGGCGGCGGCGGGGCGGCAGGTCGGCGGCGGGACGGCGGCGGGAGGGGGCGGGGCGCCGGCGGCGGCGAATGGCGCCGCGTGCCGCCTCCGCTGCCACGCCCGCCGCCTGCCACCCGCCGCCCGCAGCCCGCCGCCCGCGGCGCGAGCGCACCGCCCGCAACGCGCTACCACGCGCTGCCACGCGATACCACGCTCGCCACTACACCATCCACCAACGCATGCTACCACAACACTACTACCTTAGAGTAGGTAGGTACATGAGCATGGCTTGCTTATGTGTACGAAGACTAATACCATCAATTGCAGCTCAATAAACAAAGTATACAAAGGGTTATTATAATATGATCAAAGAATTTATGGATGATAAAACCCATGGTAATGAGATGATCGCTCAAAGTGATAGTTAATTCAGTTACATAATATATATTATGGTTGTAAACTTTTTTTAAATGTTCCAGCCCTGTATTTTCGATTTTTTCTTGACTTTCAATAGTAGATATTAATTTGTTATCTGTATTGAATAAATAAGTTTCTATTCCTATCCACTACTAAACATAGATAGTACCTAATTTAACGTTTATTTATTCAATATCCGACATTAATTACAATGAATGAATGCCATCCTATATTTGATGGTTATTTAAAAGGTATATGTTCTGTTACGAAGTTCAATCTATATCAAAATTCATCTAGATTGGTTTAGTGGTTTAGGCGTGAATTGATGACAGACAGACATACAGACGGAATTACTTTTACATTCATGATATTAGTATGGAATATGGATTTTCTGGGTGCAATTTAGTGTTATTAATAATTGTACATAATTCAGTGTTGACGTTATTATGTTGGTACAGTTTAAGATCTATCTTATTATTAGTTAAGTATATATAATCTGTATGTTGTTATACGTATTAAATATATCTATACTTATTTTATTCCAACATGTAATGCGTATTTAAGGAGTATGCGTAGGTAGTACCTACGTAAGGATAACTAAAAAAAAATACTGGACAGATCTTGATCAAAATTATATCGTACCCCACGAGAAGCACCATTTTTCAAATAAAAATCTTAAAAATCGGTTCACTTAGAAAAAAGTTCTGAGGTAACTAACACACATAAAATATTCAGTCGAATTGAGAACCTCCTCCTTTTTTCAAGTCGGTTAAAAAGCAAATTTGTTTCCTCTTGCCATGGGTAAATTACTCAAAATCTGTGACCATTTTAGAATCTAGGTAGGTAGCATCCTATACCTAGAAGCATGGTTTAAAACTATAAATTAATTTATTTTAATTTTGAAATTACCTATACCTACACTTTTTTTCATCAATAAAATGTCCTAAATTAAAAAGTCCCAAATAAAAAATATTTTTTTTTATAAATTTTGTTCGAAAAAGAAATTTAATCATACCACGTTTTTTATTCCTACATTGTAATCCGATTGTGAGCTACGTACCTACATAATTTCAAGCCTCTAGCTCATCGGGAAGTGCTCGAAATTTGAGTTGCAAGATTTCACCCGGAACGACACAGACAGACAGACAGACAAACAAGAAAGTGACTTAATAAAAACGTGGTAAAAATATACCTACCTACACTTATTTACATAACATAAAAATGTACAATATTTATTGTCATTAAAAAAGTCATACAGCCCCACTTCTCGCGATATTGGAATGCTGGCTGCGAGATATAATGTAGGTAGAAACAATAACTAAGAACTTTAATATTTATTAGTACCTAACTATATTTTTTTCCTAAATCAAAAAGAATGTATAATGTAGATTACTTCATAAAAAGCCTATCATATAAAATGATTGGGATTAATCCCAGCCCTCAAATTTTACGAACGCACATCGCGGCAAAACTCCCGATACCATCCACACCATCTGGATGCTTGGCGGTACACCACTGTGCGATTCACTAGAAGTTTCCTGCCGCGTACGACCTCTCTGTGGAATAGCTTAACACCGGCGATTTTTCATGACCGATTCTACTTAGGGACTTTCAAGAAAATTGCTTAGGTACCTACTCATTTTTAAAAGGCCGGCAACACATCTACAATTCCCCCCGTGTTGCAGTTGTTCATGGGCGGCAGTATTCACTTACCATCAGGTGAGCCGTATGCTCGTTTGCCCCCTCTCGTGTAAAAAAAATGAAACGAATTGGAAACTTATAACTTATTTCAATTTTAATAATGCCTTGGTACGGAAAGTATATCTACAATCAGTATGATAAGAAAACTAACATACCTATAGGAAATTTCCTCTCTTTGATTGATTGCGTTGTGTCCCTTAATCGCAAGCTCATTTCCTTTGTTCTCTCTTAAAGCAACGCTACCCCCACACTAGGATTTTCTCCTGTATCGTGGAGGCAGTTAACATAAATTAATAGCGTAAGGACAAACATCCAGACCTGGAACAATTATCTGTGGGCCATACGAATACTTGTTCCGTGCGGGATTCGAACCCGCGGCCCTCAACGCCGCAACTTATCGTACTAAGACACTACACAACGGAGCCGTTTCATCTTACCGCTCGATCCGATTCCAGTCGACATAACCTTATGCGGGTACTTTAAAGTTAGTCAAAAATTTGTACAAATTAATAAAAGTGTCTGTTTGTAATGTCAAATTAACAGCTTTTTACTAAATGCATAAGAAAGTATATACGGGACTTACAACAAAAACACAATTTTTAAATTTTTTTGTCTGCCTGTCTGTCTGTTAGTTCCGGCTAATCTGCGAAACGGCTACACCGATTTTAACGGGACTTTCACTGGCAGATAGCATATATTCTAAAGAGTACCTAACTTATACTACCTATATTTTAGAATTAGGAGCGCAACGTAATTAAAACCCTAAATTACACACGGGCAAAGTCGCGGGAAAAAACTAGTTAAAAACAAATATCAAACAACTGTAATTTATCACAGGTGGTAGGAGTGCCATTCTTAGAAGTTCCTCGGGATCTACCACCCTCTCACCTCTTTCTGCTGCCAAACAGCAGTGCGTGTAGGTGTGTCCCGGTATGAAGGCAGTACAATTACAGGTTGTGGGTCATTCCTCCTTAGTACGCAGAGGTGACGACACACCTGTACAATTCGTTGTTTGAAGTTGCAGGTGTTCATGGAATGAAGAGGTCACTTACCATCAGGTGGACTGTCAGTTCAGTTTTATAAAAAAATAATACAGCCCATCGCAATCGCAAGTACACTACTGAATATAAAAGCTTAAAGGAGACAATTTTGTTTTTGTATTGAGAATGGGCCCAGGGCCGGATTAACCATGTCGGGGCACTTAGACAATGGAATCCTCGGGGCCCCTTTGCAGCCAGTATAAAGGGATGCAACGTATCCATATTATTAGTTCTACTACTCGATACTAGATGGTTTTGTTCTGTAAGTATGAAGTATTTCATCAACTGATAGTATGCGTCGCTAAAGCTTAATAATACGTATTGTCACTGAGGTTACAAATTTTCCAATAAAATTTTCTCTGTATGAAACATTTTCCATTATATTTGTGCGCGCACGGCGCCCCTACCCGAAGCGGGGCACCTAGGCAGTTGCCTACTCTGCTTAAAGGTTAATCCGGCCCTGAATGGGCCCACCACAAATAGTGACGTAACTAAATAAAATGCATGTTGGTTTATTTCTCATAATCTATAGAACACTATAGTAATGTTAGTTTTACCGCATCTAACGGGAATAGGTGAGAAATTAATAATTAAAATATGAATATCACAATAACCTAAAACATTTTCTCTTTCATGATATATTACCTATTTATACGTGGTGCCATGCTGCAGCTATATTTGTAGTATAGTTGTAGCAGGAATGGGTCGGCTTGAACGGGGAAGGGCCACAGAATACCAGCGTAAAATAGTAGCTTGATACTGCTGTGTTTCGTATGGTGAGTGTTTTAATGGAAAAGAGGCATTCCATCTTAGTCCTCACGGGTGACAACGCATCTGCATTTTGATTCGCAAACGAGGATAGATGTAGATGTCAATGGGCCACGGCAACCACTTGCCATCGGATGGACTGTGTGCTCGTTTGTCACCCTATCCTATAAAAAAAATATAAAAACAGAACAAGAATATCAAAACAGCTCCTTTTGTTTTTTCAGATTTAATGAATCCGGTTAAATTTGGATAAAATCTTTAGCCCGTTTACTATAATAAAATGATATCTTTTTTATGTGTAATAATTACTAAGTTACGTTTAAATTTATAGTGGGCTCAAAAACGATTATCTCCTTTGTTTACATTACCTATAATATTTTCTGCGAAGCGTTCGCCTTAGGCAAAATATACTTACCTAATAGAATAAACATTTTGTTATATAATCTATTTTGAGATTAGGTACAGGTATACTAATTGAAAGTCATTTATGATTTTACCACTGATTCGGAAAAAACGACTTTTTAATATTCATCATCATCATCATCATCATTACAGCTCATCACAAGTCCTCTGCTGAACGTAAGTCAACAAACTAAGGAGAAGTAAGATGGACTATACCACGTCATTTGTAAAATATCGTAGAACATAAAGTATCGTAGAACATAAAGTTCTACGATATTTTACAACCCTTTATACGAGTACTTTACATCCACCCTCAAGGAACGCTACAGAGCACGGTCCTGAGCCACCAGCATCCATCGACTTCCTGCATGTCTTACCAGTTCGTCACTCCATCTAGAGGGTGGCCATAGCTTGTTGACAATAAGTTCTTTGCACACTCCTGTATCGTAATTTCTCGAGCGCTGCCCAGCCGAGTTAGATCCGTGGATTGACCAATCGATCGGTCAAATTTGGACTTACCGAGTTGGACAATTTGTCCTAAGTAAACACACTCGTCAGCAACAC